CAGCCCCCCAGACCTCTCCACTGGTTCCCTACTCCACGCTAGCATGTTGCATTCACACCTTGGGGCACTGGGTTGAAGTCTGGCCCCTCTTTCCCTGTGGAGATTTAAACAATACCCTCCCTTTGGGTGGGTTAAACGCTTACCTCAGCGGACTCATGTTGTACTTGTCCTTTTGTGCCTGACTTACTTCGCTTCGCATGATTTCCTCCAGCTCTTCCCCTGCAGAGATGTGCTTCATACGTTCTTCCCTGCTTTTCAGCAATGTTTTGTATGTATACCACAGTTTTTTAATACAATCGTCAGTTGATGTAAATTTGGGTTGCTTCCAACTCCTTGCAATTGTGAACTGTGCTGCAATGAACATTGGAGCACAGATGTCTGCCTTGGTTTGCTTCTTGCCTCTTCTGGGTATATGCCCAGTAGGGATATTGCTGGGTCCTATGGTAACTCAATTTCCATCTGTTTTAGATATCACAAATCGATTTCCATAGTGGCTGTACATACTTACAGGTCCACCAGCAGTGGATGAGAGTTCCTGTCTCCCCACAGCCCCTCCATCACTTGTTGCTTTCTGATTTTTTGAATTGGGCTACCTTTGAGGATGTTAGGTGGTACCTCATTGTTTTAATTTGCATTTCTCTTATGGCTAATGATCGGGAACATTTTCTCATATGTTTGTTGGCCATTCGGATTTCTGCCCCTGTGAAACTTCTGTTCAAGTCCTTTGCCCACCTCCTCAGTGGGCAATTCGTTTTTCTCTTCCTACTTTCCTTAATGGAGCAGTCATATCATCCGCTTCAAAACCCACCTCAAACCACTTGCAAGTTTCATCGTTTCCTTGGTCACAGAGTTGTAATTATCTAAAAAAAAACTAGCTGTCGCTCATAGTGATGTTTTTGTTATTTTTTTCCCAGCCATTAAAGTGTTTTATTTTTGCAATGCTTTGTAAAATGGGAATAATAATAGTACTTTCTGCATACAAGAACCCTGAAGCATACAGAGAGCATCTGGCCAAAGGAGCCCTAGCAATACAACAGCAAGAGGCTGGTGGTTTGAACTCATCCAGTGCTCAGAGATGATTTTCCCTTCATAAAATTATGTCTGGAAAACCAAAAACAAACTGCTGGGGCAGTTCTTTATCACGAGGACACAAGCCAGTGACCTTTGACAGCAACCTGACCAAACAAGTCCCACCTGGCAGAGTTCACCATCTGGCTACTAGCTGAAGGGTTGGTACTTTGAACTCAGCCTTGAAACCCCTATGGGACAGTGCTAGTCTGCACACCTTGGATTACTGAGCCTGAAGTTAGATGGCACGAAGAACCACAGGCCCCAGGTCTGAGCTAGTGAAGTGCAGAGAGTTACAAACCAAGGTAGTCTGAGAAACCCCTAAACCGGGTTGCTCCTGAAAGCCCAGGCCCTGACAACGTGCATCTCTAGTCTCAGTTAACTTGAGTCAAAAAAAGAGAATGAAGCTGGTTCTTTTCATAGGAATTCTCCATGTTTAACTCCCTCACTTCATTGAAAACTCATTAAGGGTGGAAGAGGGAGCTAATATACAGCATTTCCTCATTACTTGACCCTGGACTTATTTTTCACAGAGCACCTTGAAGAATTTTAACAGCCAAATTTTGTAAAGCTTTGCATTGTCATATGCATTATTGCTTTTCCCCTGCCTATTTCAACTACATTAAGAAACTCTGAATTTTTTGTTTCACTTGGATAATATTAAAACTTGAGATATTAAAAAAAACGAGCTGTTACGATCTTTAATGATTTTCCTGAGACCATAGAAAGTTAATATTGGGGATAAACTTAGAATATAGGTCTTCTATGAACAATTTAAACTGTGGGGTTAAGGGGGAGAGGGGACCCCACAAATCATCACAGGTCCAGTAGGAGCAATTATACAGCGATAAGTAAGGGTTATAGTAAAGTCATAGAGAGCATGAGAGTTAGAGGAGAGATTGGAGTAAATGGAGTCAAGACACAATTCATGGTAGCATTGCTCACCTCAGCCCCGCTTGATGCTCCTCGTGGGGGGAACCCAGACACGAGAGCAGGAGCAGCCTCGGAAACCAAGAACCGGGGAGCCTCTAGGCCCCTGAGGGCCAGAGAGAGCTCCCAGCCTCGGGAGCCGGAAAGAGCTTCTACTTTATTGCTCACCAACCATTATCTCTTTAGGGGGACATGATTACAGGTAACCACACATCATAGGAAGGGGCAGTACAATAGGCATACATATTATAGGAAGAGGATCTATGATAGGCAT